GCTGGGACGTGGTGTACAACGCCGTGCACCGGGCCGTGTGGGACGCCTTCTGCGCCAACCGGAGAGCCGACCGCGTCCCCATCTCCTTCAAAGTGCTCCCCGGCGACCACGAGTACCCCAAGTGCAGGACGAAGGTAGCGAGCGGAGTGTGTGCCCCGGGCTGCTCCCCGGCCCCTCACCGGCTTCAAACCTCTTCCTTGTGCAGCAAAAGCCAGCGGCAGGCCCTGTGCGGGGGGGCGGGGGAGGGGAGGCTGGAGGATGCGGGAGTCGGTGGCTCCCTGAGGGAAAAGGCAGCAGCGAGGGGCTGAGCTGAGCTGCCCGGTGGACTGAGCAGCCCTCGCCCCGCTTAACTCTCGGCCCGACCGCTGCTGCCTCTCGCCCCGCTCTTGGAGGGGAAGCTGTGGGAGCTTGAAGCCTGAGGAGAAGTTGTCAGGGCTAAGGGGGTTGTGACGGAGCGCTGTGGATGCAGGGGGAACCAGGGTGCCTTGGCTCGTAAGCCAGAAGCAGAGAAAGCCAGTGTGACTTGGTTTTTACAGTACTTGCTGTTCGTTTACTCAGCATCAAGGTTACGCTTGTAAGCTTTGAGCTCTAGTGAAACCCAAAGGCTAACTCTGGAGAAACTAGATATTTGAAATTGGAGTGTTCGGGGGCGGGGGGGGGAAGTGAAGCTTTTAAGTAAGTGAAATGCAGCAGAAAGAATATCTCTGCTCTACTTCCCGCCTTGCAAAGGCAGTGGCAGTTAAGCAGCATCAATGGGTTTAAGCCTTGGAAAACTACATAATTTTGTGATGCTTACAAGGAACAAGAGTTCTAACTGAATTCTTCTGGCTCTGTTTGAGAGGCCCTCAAGAGCCACCTTTTAAAAAAACCCCTAATTTTTCATGAATGTGTGTGAAACGTGCTTCTGAGCTTGACCTTTTTCTCCAGTCTACCTGGAATCTGCTGTTCTTTGTTGCCGATGTCTTGAGAATCAGGCCCTGATGCTAAGGAGTGACGTGTATGTCTTACTCAATAGCAAGCAAAGGCTTGAGGGAAAGAATATTAAAGGAAAGATGACAAATATATCCACAAGTGACAAGAACCTAGAGGCAATTCCCCTGTCTCCTGCTAGACTACGAAGCTGATAAATGGATTTGTTACCTTGCTTTAATAACCTCAATGTTTTCAGAGGACGTCCTATGAATGGTATATTCCAAAAGGAATCCTGAAGACTGGTTGGATGAACAAACACCTGAATTTGGTTCCAGCACTTGTTGTGGTGTTCTATGAACTAGACTGGGATGAACCGCAATGGAAAGAAAAACAGTCAGAATGTGCTACTCGAGTTGAAATTGTCAGGTGGGATATTTTTCACTTGGTTCTTAATGTGGTACAAGCTAATGGCAAATGTGAATTGCAGAATCCTTTTTGCATTCTAGGATATATAAATATGTTATGTTTTTCTTAGAAGCAACTTAAGGAGAGCTTGAACTTTGCTTTTTGAAGTACAAAGAAGAGAACACTGCATTTTGTGGATGATGCAGCATGCAGTTGTGTTTGGGTTTATTTCTTATATAGCATTCTTTCAGTGCTTCCATCTGGACTGAAATGTCTTTTGTTTTCCTGATTATTCACAAATAGGAAGTGAAACATTGTTACTGTGCTGTGTTTTTATTTTAGGCAAAGTTTGCAGGGAAGAAACACAAAAGTTGCTGTGGTTCTGATTCAGAAAAAAACACCATTACCTCCAGGTACTAGAAAACTCTGTATACGATTGTGATGATCCCATTTTCCAGAAGGCCTGACAGACTGAGCTGACTTGTGTTTGTCACATTATCTGCAATTCATAATATGTCATCTACATACAATGAATGCATTGTGGCTGCAGGAAGGCGTACAGATGGAAAGAGTGCTTGGGGCAGTTGACTCTAAACATTTGATACTTTTATCCTTAACTTTTTCCTCTGAAGTCCAAGTCCATCTCTTGATACTCAGTATCAAAAATGGTTTGCTAGTGCAATACATGCAACATGCCTCCTTGTAAGCAAGTTGCATTTTAAACCTTGCTTGAGATCAAGAAAAGCTGTAGAAGCAATGAGAACTTCGGAGGAGGGTATTTGATACCTACAGAAGCCTTTTAGTGTAACTCACTTTTAATCAACACCATTTTGGAGTCAAGTGGAGCTGTGAAATGTGATACATTTTAACCTCATGTTTCTATAGAGCTGCTGCTTCAGCTGTAGCTGCCTACTTTCTAGTGTCTGGCAAACTATTTTTTATTGGTTTTGTTTTCTCTATCTGCGATATGTTTGTCTTTTCTGGATACTGCTGTATTTCTGAAGGCACAGGATATTTCATTCTGTGAGAGCGACAAAAAGCTTATGTCATACCATTAAGTTGTTGCTAGCTAAGCTGCTCCTAGAAAGTTTCTGCAATGTGTTCTGCTGGATGAAGCATGCAGTACTCTGAAAAGAGTAAGAAAGAATGTGGTCTTAGTTTTATCTGTATTAGCTTTTTCCATACCTTGTACTCAGCAAGTTTTTAGAGCTCGTTTGACATTGCAGCACCGCATACTGCTTACTTGTGCTTTCCTTGACTTCAGGGGAAGATGTTATTGCATCAGAGAGGGCAGCAGCTTTATGTAATGCTTGTGACCTTTCTGGAAAATCCCTCTTTGTACTTCCACACACTGATCACCTTGTTGGTTACATTATAAGGTAAGTGACTGTAAAACACTGGTTTTGCACTGGTTGCTAATGGAGATGTTGAGAGAGTTGGTAAGTTGGGATGACTGCTTTGTGATGTGCTTGTTGTAGACCAGCAGTTTTATCTGTTCATTGGAATTCCTCAGGTTATTCTGCAACCTGATGAACTCTACACACCTCCGCTTTCTCTGTCATACTGAGTAATGACTGTCAGAAGTGTTACTTTTGAAGAAACATTATTGGATATCCCAAAATGTTTCCTTCCTCAAGTTGCATAGTGGCAAGGTGGGCTTTTCTACCTCTACAGTGTTTTTGGCCCTGCTGGTTCGAAGTGATTTTCCCT